TCGTTGGTCCATTACGGCATAGTGCAGACTCGTCCATCTGTTCAAGGACAAATGACAACGTCCTTACCATCAGATTCTGTGAGTTTTTCCCTCCATTCTGCCGTGTGCTCTCAATTTGGCAGTGTCCTGACGAGTTGACTTTACACATTCTCTTTTTTTGTATTGCGCCTATTGGATTCATCCTATTTTAGCCCTCTGCCACGCATAGGAGTTCTTCTCCGCCTTCAAGACTTATCCCTTCCAATGAAACCATTGAACATGTCATCGAACTGGCCACCGCAAACGCACGCGCTGCGGCTGGTGGCCGTTCTCCTGTTATTGGGCGTGACACCCGGACCCAGCTCTTTGTGGGCAACGTACGTTCCACCTTTTCCATGCATGTTCCCTAAAGCTCATCCATTGACGTTTGTTACCTTGTGCTCACTGCCCCGGAATTGGATGTACGCCCGCACTTCAATTAACATTGTCACCTGTCTTTTTTTTCGAACGTGTGGGATCGTAGCTGCCGTATCGGGTGAGATGGCAGGATTTGAAGGATCTGTTCCGAAAAGCTGGGGGGACAGTACTACGTGCAGATGTCTCCCTCGGTCCAGACAATAGGAGTAGAGGGTACGGCACAGTTCTCCTAGCATCCGCAGAAGATGCCGGTCGAGCCATCGGTAAGTTATCATATCTCAAGCGCTCTCTTTTCCCCGCGATCGTTGGAGGCCAAGGCGAGCCAACAATATTCAAACGTTCGCGCGAAGTCACATCAGCATCACGCCACACACCCTTCACGTTGTTCCCTCTTTTTCCCTCCCTGTGCCCCACAATTTTATCATTATCGATGGCGCCGATAGAAGCTCGTTCTCATCTATTCTTTTTTAATAAATGACTAACTATTGCTTCCTCTTCCGATCAGATATGTTCAATGGCTACGTATGGCAATCGAGAACCCTCGAGGTCCGACCGGACAGACTACCCAACGACTTTGACTCGCATTCGAAAACAGCGACGACCGTCGTGCAACCTCAAGTAATACCACCTACTGCCATGTCTCCCACGTCTTTGCATTTCCCGACCCAGATGGTTGCGGCGAGCTCTGTGCCAAACGCCATGCACCCCCTGAGTATGCAAGCTTCTGTCCTGCCGGCGAGCACGTCGGTGCCTTCGAGTTTACTCCCATCTCTCGGCTCGACAATACCTCTATCAAAGTCGGTAGTTGGGACGTCTGCCACGCCTATCAATGGATCCATCCTGGGAATGACGACGGGTCCAGTTTTATCCTCTGCTAGTGCGAGTGCACTTGAAGCTGCTGGATTTACGAATGAGACGCTACGGCGGAGTGATTTGCTCAAGGACATGTCGAGGTCGCCGAGCGCGTTCAAGTTGCCGCCTACAGCTGCTGCAGCTGCCGCCGCGTCGATAGTAGCAGCCACCACACCTACTCCATCTTCTAGTCTTGTTGGAACGTCCACGACACCCGTACCTGGCCTACCAAGTGCGGCCGCAATGAGGTCTGCGGTGGAGAATGCTTCGCTATTAGGCTCGAGTAAGGCATATAGCGAATCTGCCCGTCCGGGTTCGTCCAAAGGGATGAATTTGGGACTTGGTGGGAATGGGAAAGCGTCGACTCCGACTCCATCGTCATTGGGGACTTTGCCGGCGGGAACGGGAGGTGCCTTTGCTACAGGGAATGGCCTGCCGTCATCGCTGGCCTCATTGACCTACTCTGCCACTACGAATTTGAATGGAATGTCAAATAAGGAGGACCTATCGCGCAGGACCGTCCTAGTGATGAATGTGAGTATAGACGAGTTTTGATAGCTATTTTTCAACCCATGAGAAGGGAAATTGTACTGACAATTCTTTTGCTCCAATTTTTTTTCCCACTATTGCCATTGCTATCGTGATGACCCTTTGGCACTATGACGCTCAACAAACAATTATTGCAAACCTCTCTTTTGGGTTCTTCCGTCCGGTCCCTCCGTTGGGCCCCGGATCTAAATGTGCCGATGTATTCATGTGGTGTTTGTTTTGGTTCCATCCCTTCTCATCTCCTCCCACACACAAATACCAATGTAGTGGCCCATCGAACATGGCCCCGCAGATTTCGAGCAGTTGTTCCGATCGGCGGGGAATGTGGTCAGCATCGCTTTTGGTTCCACCTCCACTACCAGCACCCCTTCTCCGAATAGTGGCAGCACCAACTCCAATGGCGCCGGCGATGCGTCATCCATTATGGTGGGGTATGGTTCGGTAGTTTATGCCACGG